TGCAGACCTCCACAGAGGCGTTTGCTTTTAGTTCTCTACTTTCTTCTACATTCCGATGCTCTATGCCCATACATGGCGAAGTAGCATCTGTAGTAACTGGAGACGTCTTCAGTTTCCAGACTTATCTGGTTTGGTTAGGGAACTGGTCTTTGAGTATACTCCGATCTTTTGAATGGAACACATGTTGTGGTTCAGAAAACGATGAATCTTTATTTTGCGAGCTTTAGCTTCTTCCATAGTTTAATTTTCAGCATTTCTGGAGGAGGCAGTTCATCACGAGATTCGGGCTATTCGAAAGCGCATAGACTCCGGTATGCTAATAAAAGCAATATTGTAAGCAAATCTCCACAATGTTTATTCCATTTCTTTCAGTTTGTCCACAAGAAGGAAAAATCATTTAGATGATCAGTCATTTGTTACATTCATTCATTTTGTAAAAAGCAATTTTTTAGAATTGTGGCCTTTCTAGCTGGGCCTTCAATTCGTAAATAAATGCAATTACTCACAGTTTGTGAGATGTTACACAATTCATTATTGGAAGTTCACTGGGTAAGATGGATAGGATTTATATCCGCTCGTGCTTTTTGGTCAGTAGTTTTCCATTTAGCAATTCTTCATCACCAGGTTCTGTTTTGGAATTTTCCCAGTTACATAGTCCCAATGATCATTTTTAATCAGTATTGCTTCCACTTGCAACTTCCACGTGTCAAAGTTGTCCTTGTTTAGCTTTTCAATTGAAACTGTATTAGTCGTTGTCATTTTCATTTCAGTCGACGCAGCTTGCCTTGCCGAAAGAATTTAACAATGGTGGTTGGACTGCACAGTTAAGCGCTGTCTGGGCCCATAACCTATGAAGAATAAAATGAGGTCTTCCATATACAAACATTTATTTAAGCTATGAAGACGTTGAACAGCAGAGTAGAAACATGATATTACACAGCACTTAGCACTTCTCGCTGACATGCGATACTCACCATTGACTTTGGCTAACTGCCTATAAAAGTATTACGCAGCAGAAACCTTGCTTATCATGCGCATGTGCTAGGGGAATCAACGGCGGTTGCCAACAGTCTTCTGCCATATCTTTGGAATGTATCCCAGTGCCAGGCTTAGGGTGCCAACCAAAATTGTTTCATTCTTTCTAAGGAGTCTGGAGTCTAGCTCCTTCAGAGATAGAATCTATGGCTTCACAGAATTTCCTCCAAAAGTCCGGTTAACTTTTTCTGGCATTTTATTATTGTTGGTTAGGGCTTTTTTAACCAACAATAATAAAATGCCAGAAAAAGTTTCTTCTATTGTCCCGTTCACTATATTTCTTTCCGTTATTAAAACGTTTTCTGACTATTGCCCCTTCAGTTTGCTAGAGAGTCAGTCCACCTCTTGGGATTTTCCTCTCATAGTGTGGATTGGGCAGTTGTTATTGCATGAATCTAGAATATTGTTATGCAGACATTCTGCTGTAACTTCTAAATCATAATTGTCCCTAATAGTTTCCCCCTACCCCGAGTTCAGCCAGCCCAACAAGTTCCTCCTGGAATTTTTTCCAGTCTGTCCTCATGGGGGGTCTCTGAACTTTTGGTCAAGAATTAAATTAATTTGAAAGTGGATGTTTTGATGGTCTGAGCCTGATGGTGTACCATCAACTTTCCATTTTTTGATATTTTTATTAATTAGCGTTGTTGTAATAGTGATATCAATTATTTTAGATTTATTAAAAGTAATAAAAGTTGGATTGTTACCCACATTTAGAATATCCAAATTATAATTAAGGATAAATTCTAAAGGAGAACACCAGAGAATATTGTGAGCTTTGCACATAAGTTTGTGCAGAGATTGAGCGGGTAGAGCCTTCCCTGTACAAAGTAGGTGGACAAAGTAAAAAACGATTTCTCTGTTTCATCCCTCCCCTATAATTAACTCTTGACTTTCACTGCCGTTAAGGTCTCTATAAATAAATGTGGTAAGAAGAAATACTTCAATATCCTTATCTGAAAGAATACAGGTTCTTGCATCACTATTGAAATCATAGATTAGCTTACCTTTTTTTCTTTTAAGGCTGCTGATTCTACCCCTGACAAACCAGGGCTCTTTTATCAGGGCAGATGTGTGTCCTCAGCAAGAACTTTCCTGCTGAGGATAGTGGTACCACTTCTACTGTGAAGGATGTTGGCTTGAGGAATCTTCAATATCCTCTTCTACCAAGAACAGCTTCATCCATTTCAGGTACACAAAAGACGATGGTCTGTCCCCATTATGTGATGTCCCTTAATGTGATGAATATTCCTCTCAGTGAGAACATCTGCCCTGAAGTGTTCTCACTGAGAGGAATATTCATCACATTTCTGTGCGTCAGTCTTTTTAATGACCTCTTTGGGGTTCCAGTTTGCAGCAAACTTTTGGCAGTTTAGCTATGATTTTTGTGGTTTGTTATTTTGATAATTAGTCGATGACCAATAAAATGATGAGAGTGTAAAAAAGCAAGGATAAAAATTAGCCTCCATAGAGTTGTCTGTAAATGAACTTTAAAATAATAGGACAGTTTTGAGGTGGTCGCCATCTGTATCACCCTGATGACACAGAGGGCAACAAGCTGAATGCTTTACTGCACTTACTTTGATGTAAATGTTGCTGTAAATAATCATGGCCAGTTGTCAAATGAAAGCAAGCAACTCCAATAGCCCGAGATAAGGAAGCGGGCGGAGGGGTTATTTATTTTTTTGAGCAGGATATTCCACTTTTTATCCATTGCCGCATCAACATACAAGGATATTTTGCTGTTTTTCATTTTATGATTACTCAAAGGTAAAGGGGAATTGGGGTGTGTCATATAGGATCTGATGCTCCTTCCAAAAATATCACAATGGCTCAGAATCTACTCAAGGGAATGCTATCTTTGTTTTCCCTTAGTTCAAAAGGTTTCATTTTATGGTAACGGGATAATACAGTCAAAAGTCGTTAATTTGGACACCCATAATCTGGAATGATCTATAATCCGGACCTCAAAGCCACAAACTTTCTGCATTGATGCATGCGCGTAAGACCTTTACGGGTGCGAATATGCGTGTGCGCATTTAAACTGATGATCTATAATCCGGAAAAATCAATAACCCGGTATCGCCGAAGTCCCGACGCGTCCAGATTAACGACTTTTGACTGTACATAAGTACTGATAAGAATTAAGGATATCGCATATTTATTAATGTTATGAACTCGGGTTTATTTAATGCATTCATTTTATGCTTTTGTTTGCATGTGCAATGTCTAATTTTTGTATAATTGATTTGGCAACACCCTATTGTAGTTAAGAAACTCTGGGTACTTAGGTATTAACTCCACCTCACTTACTTTCAACACAAACAGTTGAGAGAATGTGGGGCAATGCTAAATGGAGAAACAAGAGACATATTGGGACAGCAAGACATCATTTAGAATCTTATTTAGCAGAGTCATATGGCGACAGCATCAGGTCAAAGAAAATAAGAGACTTTTTTGAATCTATGTTAAACTTTATATTATCCACCGAAATCAAAGTAGTCAATATAAAGTCAAACTTTATATCGACTACTTTGATTTTAAATAAAGTGTTTTAAGTAATGATTTGTTGCAAAAATTTTAGGTTTAGATTGGCGGTACTTAAAAACCGCCAAATCTGCAGCTGCGGTGCCGTTAATACATAAGTACCAAACGCTGTTCTAAAGAAACTGAAATGTAATGTTACTGCTTGTCTTCGCTTCACACTCTGTAAAAGGTAATAAATGCTTTTCTGGTTGTATAATGTTGAATAAAGTAAGCTTTAATGTGCTCACTGCATCACTAACTGAATAATACTATAACAGTTAAGCTTTAATGATCTCTGCATCACTGTTTCAATAATACTATAACAATATTAAAACTTATTGCGATTGTTTATTCTTTTTCAAAGTCGTGTACTGTGGCTTTCTGTTATGACCGGATCCTGTAACTTAAAAAATACTCCACTTCATGCAGTTCCAAATATTAATAATTTTTCAATTTGCGAAGAAAAAATAGAACTTGTGTCTGTCATTTAAAAAATTAAACTGGTTTATTAAGAATTACTCGAATTCGTATTAAACTGAAAGAAACTTCTTATGATTGCGTTGTTATGTCGTGCTTTTCCATTATTGGCGCTAAATCAAATGTTTGGCTACAATGTATGTTAATAATATTGCAAGCTGTATAACGGCATTATAAATATCTTATTTACTAAATTTTGTGTTGGAAAATTTCTAAAATTCTTAAATATTCTGCTAACTTGAGATTTCTGGTTAGTTGAATGCAAGATAATTGGGCTTTTACTGTATTATTTGTAATGATCTAAATTTCAGCCTTGAGAATGGAAAGTTATAAAATCAAGAAATAAGTTATTGTAAAAATTTAGCCAATAAATGCTGTTTGAATAGAGGTGGTCATAAGCAGATCCAAAAACCTGTGCCACATATAGAGTTAATGGTGGTATGTATTGTTGTATGTAGTGCAACAATTAAACTTGACTATATTACATGAGTGTCTCTTCATATGTAACATTAGCTGTTATCTGTGATTTTTATATATCCGAGATAAGTCTTGAAATGTACTATCCATAGATATGGAAGTATTACTGTTAACAGTTAAAGAATTAAAAAAAATACTATGAACTGTAAAAAATTTAAACTTGTTCATGTAAATTTCATTCTATATACATATGTAATGTAGCCAGAAGGAAATGATGTTGGTTTTTTGTAGTGGAATCCCCCCCCCGGTATGTTAAAAAAACTTATTAAACTATTCTTCTCCTGGTAGGTGCAAAAGTAAGTATTTGTTACCTTTATTGTAATAGCTTCCTTTATAGTATGTTGCACTCAGAATTTATATCTTTGTGTTGTTCTAATGGCTTCATCTAATTAAATTTTGGTAGATTTTAAGGGATACTTGTAGTCCTGAAAACCATATCTGTTCCTGAATGTAGATTGACTTCTGATAATGTTTATTTTTTAATACAGGAAATTAGAAATGAGTCAAACAACTTTTCATACATTATAAAAGATGCCAAAAAGTCAGAAAATAAGAACTTAAATCGTTACAGAGATGTCAACCCATGTAAGTTGAAATTTTACTTGATTATATATATTTGTGTCAAACTTTTTTCATTTTTCAAAATAGATGCACAGTAGAAGACTACAAGTCTGTGCAACTTGTGACCAGAGGTGGTATGTATTTTACGTAAATAAAGGAAAGTAATTAGACTCGCCTTAACCCTTTACTGCTTGTGCAAATTCGCATACCGAGCTTCCTGCTCTGTGTATTTTGTTCACTACACGTTTTTAAATTTTGGAGAAAATAAATTAATGTTTTATAAGATTAATTTTCAGGTGCAACAAAGATATATTATAAAAATTCCTTAATATAGCCCTTACGTGTCAATATTTTTTATTGGGTTGGAGGAAAAGTTCTGTCGTATTTTAAAGAAAATATTTGGAATTCATTTATAAAAATATGTGTTTAATATTAATCAATTATATATGCTCCGTTATTTGTTACAACCTGTTGCCATCTTTCCAGGTAACCTGTAAATTCCTGTTTTTTTGTAGAAGTTCTCATCCATGGAGTTAAAATAGTCAGCAACTGCCTTAGAAAACACTTTTCAAAAGACTTGAATTTTTTTTCCCGTTAGATAATTTTGCAGAGATCTGAACAGGTAATAATCAGCTGGTGCATGCAATGTCAGGTGAATATGGTGGGGGGGTGACTAAGGATTTCCCATCCTAACGCATTCAGTTTTCGTGGTGTCACCACTGCAGTATGCGGGCGAGCATTATCGTGATGGAACACTATTCCTTTTCTGGACGCTAATGCTGGCCTTTTTTCTTTGATGGCTGCATTCAATTTATCCAGCTGATTGCAGTACAGATCCGCGTTGATGTTTTTCCCTGTTTCAGCAACTTGTAATACACTGGACTTTTCCTGTCCCACCACAAACAAAGCAGTACTTTTCGTTGATGGATACTTGGTTTTGGAACTGTTGCTGATGATGTTCCTGGTTTGCAGTAAGATTTTTTTCTTTTTAATATTCTCGTAAAGAATCCACTTTTCATCTCCAGTAACCAGCCTGTCCAAAAACGGCTTCACATTGTGTCTAATCAGATGTGATGAACATATTCTTACACGATCAGACAAATTCTTTTCCGTTAATTCATGTGGAACCCAAACACTTTGCTTTAACACAAACCCAAGAGATTTAATGTGATCTCCAACAGTTGTATGATGAATGCCAAACTCTTCTGCAATTTCTCGACTTGTTAAATGTGGATTATTTTCCAACATGGATCGCAAAACATCATTATCGATCTTGGATGGTCGTCCAGATCGAACACTTTCTTTGAGGCTCAGGTCCCCGGAACGAAATTTTCATCTTTGACAAGTACGAACATTTACAATATCTTTTCCAAATACCGCCACATAAATTTTTACATGCAACAGATGCGTTGCTTCCTTTTTGGAATTCATATAAAATGCAGTGTCGTAAATGCACTTTATCTACCGACATGTTTTTCCCTTTTAAATATTACAAGTAAATGATGAAGGGTAAAAAAAAGGGCACCTTTTTTAAATTATACAGCAGCTAAAAAAACAAAAAAAATCCGATTGACTCACTAGCCAGATGTTTTTTTTATTTACAAGAAAAATCACCTGCCTATTTAAAATACGACAGAACTTTTCCTCCAACCCGTTAGTAATATATATATTTTAACTATTTCAAACATATTCTTTTATAAATTTATATAGAGTGAAAAGGAAGTAAAGCAAGCAAACAACAATACAAAACATCTTATGAAATAACTTTAATTCTATTTGTGCACATACCTAGTTACAACTATAATTATTATTCCATATTGCTTTCTTCACGTATGAAATTTGTATCATCCCCTTTCGTTAGGGCTGATAAATACAGCAATCCCAGTTTCTCCTTTAGTTATTTCTTCAGTATCATGCTATCTTTATTATTTTTCCTGGATTTTGAATTGAATGTTCCAATTTGTGTATTTGACTATGTTATCAATAATGCTATCTGATATTTTTTTCTTGTTGTTCACAGAGAAATCAAATTTTTTAGGGTCTGGTAAAATCATAAAAATACCCTTTTTAATGGTTTTTTGCAAACTTATTAACCACTTTTTTCAATCCTTACTGATAAAAAACTTACATTGCCTTCATCACTTACATTGTCAATTTTTGTTTCATCATCAAAGTTTGAATCAATGTTATGATCTGAATAATTAATTGATCCTGTCCTCCACTTCATTATCTTTCTTACTAATTTCTTCCTCTGACATTTCCACTTCAAACAATGCTTTTATTTCTTCTGGAGAATTCTTTAGTATTTTTTCATCACGATTTAAAACCCGAAATTGGAAATATACACAAAATCAAAATTAGAAAAAGAGCAAATAATAAATGAAAACATGAAAAGAAAGATGTATTTCCCACGTGATGCATTCCAGATGCAAGCTTTTACTGTGGGGTGTATTCTGTTCACGATAATTTTGTGTGCACTGTATTCTGTTCTTCAGAGAGATTTGAATTGCAAACATTTTCAATCTCTGAAAATCAAATGAATGAAAGTGAGAATCTGTCTGTGTCACTCAGTAGGTTTCTGCTTTATCATTAAAGTTTTATCTCCAGCAAAGGTTAGCTGGGGATAAAATTTAAATGATGAAGCAGAGAAACAATTACTTCTGATACAGCTGTAGTGGTGTACAAAATACTCCAGTACAAGTAATTAAGGGTTAAAAAATTGGAAGATAAATAAATAAATAGATAAAAATTAGAGAAAGCACATGAAAGCAGTTAATTTCTTTTCAATACTTTTATATTGCATAATAAGAGTGATATAAAAGAAAATATTTGTAAAAAGCATATAAAGAGGTGCTTATTTTTTAATATTTTTATTTATGTCTTTTAGGAGTTTATTTAAAAAACTTTCGGATGTTTTAGTTTGATTGGAAGGTAAACAAGGTAGGGTAAAATGTCGAGTTAAAAAAATCGTTAGATTGGCATAGACTTTGAATTAATCTATTGACTGATTTCAAGGTGCTCAGACATACAGCTAGTCAAAACAGATATTCAGTGCAACAACAGCTAGTCAAGCTGTGCAACAAGTTTTCTAATGTTTTTTGAAAGAATAATTAAATATTTAACTTCAGTGAAATACTTTTCTTAATGCCACTTCTTACATTTAAACAAAATTCATTGAAATTTTTTTAATTAACTAAAATGTGAGATAAATAATTAATTACAACTTTTACTGTATAAACAAGAAAAGAATGATAAAAAAGATTAGGACACCTGAACATGTTTAAAAAAAATTAAAAAATTATGTTGTGCCTCCTTTTCTTTTTATGATGTCCCTGAATATTTGGTTTTGACAGAGATTTGCTTCTATTTTTCCCTTTTATGTGGTGAATTTTTTCCAAATTTATTTCTGATCAAAATTTTAAATGTATTCTTTCTTGGTAAGAATCCCAAATATGCTCAATAGGATTGAGGTCTGGTGCTGCACAGGCATTTTGTTTACATGCTGACAGCTATACAAAATTCAAAGTTTGCAGATATGAGCTTTATGCTGGGAGACAGCATTGTGCTCATAAAGTTTGTAATTTAACACTATATCTATTTTTTAGTGCTTTGTTATAATTTTTATTTTAAAATATTTAAATTTATCCATTTTGCCATTAACAGACTAGATTTCCATTGCCACTAGCAATTGTGCAGCCTCAGACTTTATAGCTACCTTCACTTGAGTTGATTCATAAGGATACCCTCAACATAAGTTTATCCTGATACTTATGCAGGTTGACCAGACTGCTACATTGCTAACTTGGCTAAAAAGCAACATCTATAAGGGTGCGAGTACAGCGGTTTAGTGGTAAAAATTAGTGAATATTGGTAATTGGACCCATTTTCGCATCTTGGCAAATGTGCTGGTTGCATGTCTTTTCATGGTTTTCCTCATCTATAAAATGAATATGAGTCAGCTCCCCTTAAAATGCCCTGCATGAAGTTCATGCCGTGCTGCTAATTCAAATAGTAGTCTTTATTTATACATCTATATAAAGACTGGAAGTCTAGGAAATTAACAAATATCCTGTTTAAACGTAGGTGCTAATATAGCATAATTTCTACTAGCATTTATTTCTGTCATATTTTCATTATGCATAGGGAATATATAAGGAATATTAGGCATGCAAATGGGAATAAAACAGAATTTCTAGTAATTACTTCATTACAGTGATGTCAACTTCATTCGTATATTTAAAAGACAAGAGACCTGTGCTGAAAAGGACATCAGAATTATCAGTAAAATATGAAAAAAACCATACCAATACCTTGCTCATATGGGTAGATTACATCATTAAGGAGTTTTTCTTCTATACTTGCCATGTGTCTTACGTAGAGAAAAAACATGGTAGCTGCTGATGTAGCTAGTCTGTTCAACAGCCAGAATTAGAACTTCTGCAAACTAATGGTATTTTGCAGCTTTAAGGATCTGCCAATAGGCGATATTCAATTATTCTAACATATCACCTGACTATCATTGACACAAATACAATTTCTTATAAGAAATAAGTTGAAGCAGATGGATGAATTTGAGATATGCCATTTATTCATAGATGTTTATGTAAGAAAGAACAGAATTTTAAAACCAAAGAAGTACAGTAAATGTGGATCTGTAATACTTAATATAATATCTTTATATAATAATAATATCTTTATATATATAATAATAATATCTTTATATAGTGTAGGTGTGTGTAAGATGAAAAATATTTAAATCGAGACAATAGCTGCTTAATTCCCCCCCTCTCTATTCTAAAAATAGTAATGCCATTTTCTGTACCGTGTCATTTCTAGATCAATCCATATCAGGTGACTTGCATAACGCTGATGACATAGCAGATTTGGAACTTAAAACTTTTTCTTAATTAGGCAGCCATATTGGATAACTGTGCACTTTTGCTTCTAGTTCTCTTACCGTTAAGATACTTGCGTGCTTCTTTTCTCCCTGTCACGATAGTATCAAAAATGTAAATGTTCTTTAA